CTCCCCCACCCCCCAGCAGCTCTGCCGTCTTCCGCCTGGACAGAGTCATCCACAGCGACCCAGCTGGTATCCAGCAGGCCTTGGCCCAACTCAGCAGCCGACAGGGGGGTGCAGCTGCCCCAGGGGGCCCCCCGAGGCCCAAGCCAGGGGCCCCCCCAGCCCCTCAGGGCCCCTCTCCCCGGCCCCCAGCACGATTCGAGCCCCCAAGGGCCAGCAGCAACGGTGTAGGTGGCACCGGTGAGCTGGGAGAAATGGATTGGAGGTGGGGTGGGGGTGGGCAATGCATTTATCACCAGAGGGAAATGAATCCAAGTGGGAGGTCTATTTATTAAGGGCCTAAGGTGCTAGGATCTCTTCCCACCCCCTACTCCCTACTCCCCAAGAAAAGTAAAGGTTGGGATGGTGAAAAGACCCTAGGATTCTGGATCCATATGCTACCAGGTTTTCCCCATTTTTCTCAGAGCCCCACTTTGCGGAGCCAGGGCCATTGGTGAGGGGGGTGAGTGGGACCTCCCAGGACTCTACTGGGATTAATCCCTTCCCCCCCAAACGTCGTGATCGGCCTTCTCGAAAGCCGGAGCTGCTACAGGAGGTGAGAGGGGGCTGGGGCTATATTCTATTTTCGTAAAGGTTTCCAGGCCTGCATCCTGAGCTTTTGGTATTATTCATTGTCTCGATCTCCCTTATTTTCTGTAATCCATTTACTTCCCTATTGTCCCTGCTGCTTTCTGTCTCTGTCTTATTCTCCACCCTATATGTTCCCTTCCACCTTCAATATCCCCTTTTCTTCTGATCTTTCTCTCTGCAGGAGTCTTTGCCTCCTCCTCATAGTCCTGGATTTTTGGGTCCCAAACCAGAGGGACCCAATCCAAGGGGAGAGCCCAGAGATGCAGGCACAGAGGCTCTGGCTCCCCATATCTGGAATCGTCTACATACTGGTGAGTGGAATTGTAGTAGGGGATAAGATTTTGGGATGGTCCAGAGCAAGCTCTAGAGTTAGTATCACCCCATCTAACTGATTTTCCCCTTCTGGCCTTTTTAGCCGCCAGCCGAAAGAGTTACCGGCCTGGCTCAGTGGAACCCTGGATGGAGCCCCTCAGCCCTTTTGAAGATGTGGCTGGCACAGAGGTGAGCAAGATGGGGAAATCTGGGCATCCAGAGTGGGGATATCCATAAAGACCAACCACTCTTCTGCCTCACATTCAGTGTGATGTCTGTACGTGTTCAGATCAACTCTGTGTTCATCCTTCTGTCTGTCCTTTGTCTGTGGGGTGACTTGGGAAGACTGTATTTCAATTGGAGACTGATTACTTTCTTCTCCCCCATCCCATGCCAGATGAGCCAGTCTGACAGTGGGGTGGATCTGAGTGGCGACTCTCAGGTTTCATCAGGCCCCTGCAGCCAGCGAAGTTCCCCTGATGGGGGACTAAAGGGGACAGGGGAGGGTGCACCCAAGCGGCCTGGAGGCCCCTCACCCCTGAGCACTGCCCCTGGTGAGGGTCCATCTGGCTCTGAACCCTCTGACCCTCCACGGAGACGTCCTCCTGCCTCCCGTGATGGGGACAAGAAGGTAACAGGGATCAAGAAAAGAAGGGAGGTGCAACCTGTAATACAGTTCTTCACTTCCACCTTTGCCCCAGAAGGCACTGGGCTCCCCTTATTTGAGTCCTTTTTGTTGTTTGTCTTTCCTACCGTAGGAGCCACCCCTGCCCCCTGGCCCCATAGGCACAGAACGATCCCACCGAGCAGATCGAGGACCGGAGCCTGGTCCCCTCCGGCCCTCTCACCGACCTGGTCCCCCTATCCAATTTGGAACCAGTGACAAGGTTTGCCTGGAGCTTTGGTTAAGGGGTAGAGAAAGGGCTAGGGGGAAGTGGGTCCAAGAACCTAATGTCTTTTGATATTCTACTGTGATCTTAGGACTCTGACCTCCGTCTGGTGGTGGGAGACAGCTTAAAGCCAGAAAAGGAGTTGTCACAATCTGGGCCTGAGGTGGTAAGTAGGTGGTGAAAAGGGTTAGGGTCAGGTGTTTGGGAGAGGAGAGTTGGGAAGGGAGGACAGGTACCTGGCCTCCCTTACATAACATGGAGGCCTTTCCTTTTCTCAGCCTGCTCCAGTATCCCGAGACTGGGAATTGCTCCCTTCTGGTCCCACCTCAGCTGAGCCACCATCCAAAAATCTGGGCCCCAGCCACTGTGGCCCAGAACCCAACCCCATGGGTCCTCGCCTATACCCTGAGGTCTTCTACAGCAGCCCAGGGCCTCCAGGCACCCAGGTATGTTCCTCTCCCATTCTCCTCACCACCACCCCTGCCTTCATCCCAGTCTTTTTTGCCAGATTCTCTATATATCACTGTACTGGAGAGTCCTGGCAAACTGGCTACCAGTCTTCTCTATTTGTTCTTTTCCCCTCGTTTACCTGTAGTGCTCGTTTAAAAATAAATAAAATAAATAAATAAATCTAGCCATATCGGGGGCAGCTAGGTGGTGCAGTAGATAGAGCACCGGCCCTGGATTCAGGACGACCTGAGTTCAAATGTAGCCTCAGACACTTAACACTTAACTAGCTGTGTGACCCTGGGCAAGTTACTTAACCCCACTGCCTAGCCAAAAAAAAACAAAAAACCAACCTGTAGTGCTCATTTCACATCATGCTTTGTTAATGGTTATTTGTGTGTTGTATCTCTGCTAGACTGTAAGCTCCATAAAGGCAACCCACAGAATCTAGCACACAGTAGATTCCCAATAAACATTTTTTGAATAAACAGACACTGCACTGCCTCTCCCAGGCACATCTTCATCAGTGGGTGGGTAAGAGCTCATGTAGGGAGATAAAGGCAAAGAACTATCCCAGCCCCACTTGTTTCCCTCAGGTCCCAGGGGGAACAGTGGACTCTCAGCTGCACCCCACCAATGGTGGCTTCCGCCCAGGGACCCCTTCACTGCACCCCTACAGGTAAACAAAGATGAGGAATTTGGGTACCTTGAGATAGTTAAAGAATGGGGGACTAGTAGGGATTTGTAACTGGACCATTCCTCCTCTTCACTTTGTTCTCCTTACTCTTCAGGTCACAGCCCCTCTATTTACCCCCTGGCCCAGCTCCTGCTTCAGCACTGCTTTCAGGTGTAGCCCTCAAAGGCCAGTTCCTGGATTTCTCAGCATTGCAGGCAGCAGAGCTGGGGAAGCTGCCAGCTGGGGGGGTCCTCTATCCCCCACCTTCCTTCCTCTACCCACCAGCCTTCTGTCCCAGTCCTCTGCCTGACCCTCCTTTGCTGCAGGTGAGAAATAAGGACATTGGTGTGGGTGGTTGGAGCTGGAAAGTTGAGGACCCTGAGCTATGAAGCCCTTTCTTTCTAGGTGCGCCAGGACCTGCCATCCCCTTCAGATTTCTACTCTACTCCTCTGCAGCCTGGTGGCCAAAATGGCTTCCTGCCCCCAGCTGCCCCCACCCAGCAGGTAGCTCTCCTCAAACCTTCCCCAGATCTCTTTGCTGTTTTATGATCATCCTTTCGTTCATCTTCCCCTACAAGTCTTCTAATAAAGCTGGTCTTAAGTAAATGCTATAGTGGTGGTGATTGTTTTTTGAATTTTTGTGTCATACTTCTTCAATTTCTCCTATAGATGCTGCTACCAGTAGTGGAGTCCCAGCTACCTGTGGTGAACTTCAGCTCCTTGCCTCCAGCCCCGCCTCCTGCCCCACCTCCACTTTCCCTGCTGCCTGTGGGCCCTGCCCTACAGCCCCCCAGTCTGGCTGTCCGGCCCCCACCTGCTCCGGCAGCCCGGGTGCTACCCTCACCCGCCCGGCCCTTCCCTCCCAACTTGGGGAGAGCAGAGGTGAGAGGCGGGGAGTTGACAGGGAAAGGGAGGGATCAGATTTTAGGACTGGAGGCTTGAAGGCAGGTCCTGAGGTTTTTCCTCTACCTTTCCTCCCAGCTGCACCAAATGGAACTAAAGCCGTTCCATGATTATCGAAAACTGAGCAACCTCGGGGGACCTGGGGCTCGAACCTCCCCAGCTGGAAGGTGAGGAACTGGGGGATTTTAGCTCACCCCTTGGTACTCAGGACTAGGGTCTTCTCTTAGTCTTGCTCATGATATTTCTTCTATATTCCATAGGCCCTTCTCTGGTCTCAGCTCCCGACTCAAGGCCCCACCCACTGGATATAGTGGTGTTGGTGTGTTCCGCACCCAGCGCTTCGACCTCTACCAGCAGGTGAGGAAAATTATACACCCCTTAGCCACTTGTCATGACCTATAAAATAAAATACTACCCAAATCCTAACTGTTGCCCACAGTTTGGAAACTGGCCTACCCTCAATGATCCCCAAGTCTGTTTCTCACCCTCCCAGTTTGACTCCATCTGTACCTGCCCTCAGGCCTCCCCACCAGATGCCCTGCGCTGGATGCCGAAGCCCTGGGAGCGGGCAGGGCCACCCTCTCGTGAGGGTCCACCCCGGCGGGCAGAGGAGTCAGGGCCCCGTGGGGACAAGGATCCTGGGTTGCCCCCACCCCGCTGAGGGAGCTGCCCCCACCCCCATCCCCCACCCTCCCCGGGCCTGTACATAGATATAAATATATAAGGGGGAAGGGGGCGGGTGGGGAGGGGTTGTGGGGCTCGGGCCTCCCTCCCCCTCCCCCCTCTTCCCCTGGGCCCCTATCCCTGGGGCCGTTTGTTTAAAAAAGAATAAAAGGATTTAAAAAAATATCTGATGTCCAAGTTGTTTAGAGAATGAATGTGAGAAGGACATATTCCTCCTGAATGGCCATCAGAAGGAAAAGAAATTGCACAGTCAGAATTGATCCAGCTTCCTTCACCCCAACTCCCACCCCCTTGGAACAAGTTCACTAACTAGCTGGGCCATCGGAGAAAGGGGGGATGGGGAAATGATGTAAAATAGATTGGATTATATTAGAAAGTAATGTAACACTGGCTCATAGCTCAGACTTTCACTAGTGATAAGTGAGTGGAGGCGGCAACTTGTATGGACACAAACAGTCAAAGCCAGGAAAATCCGACTTTATTTCTTAAATACTGTGAATAGGAGGGGGAAAAGAGAGGTCCCTGGGAGAAGATGGTAAGGGATGGCCATGAAGCAGGAATCTAAGGGTCATCAGCAAAGGCCCTGTGGGCATTGGGGAAGCGCTGGGGGCTGTAGTTGGGGTCATCCTGAAGTCGTTTTTGGATGTCAGAACGGAGCTGAGGAAAAAGAAAAATGGGTTGAGAACAGAGGAAAGGGCCCTTAGCATATGCCAACGCCCCCTCTCCCTTAAATGTGTGTTCCACTAGGATGGTGACTCAGAAGGCAAATCTTATCCATCTTCCCCATGCAGATTGTATATGGCAATATCGCTCACCAGAGGCATCAAAAATAATGACGGTGATCCGGTCCATCCCAGCTAATCTCCCCCTTGCTGACCTGATCTAATGGTCTCTTCCACTTGAACCCACCCTCTTTTCAAAATGAACCCACCTGCCCTAGACTATTCCATTTCACCTCTAAGAAAGGGAAGGAATGGCCCTTACGAAACTTTCCACTAAAGAATTGCTATTCTGTTTTGAGAGGTTGCACCTGCTGCCTGTAGCTCTCCTGAACCTCTGGTGCCTCCAGGTCATGACTCAGGCTCTCCGAGCTAGTCAGAGGTCGGGCTCCAGCTGCCTTGGCTGCCCTGCTCACAGCCTCTGAAAGCAGCAGCTGAGGGCCCTCGCCCTGCATCGTCTAAGGGGAGAAGAATGGCTTTCAGCATCAGATCAGCTCTCCACCCCACAACAAACTTAACTCATGAGTTTCCATACTAGCAGAGAAAAGGAAATGTTATGTGAATACATTTGAAGGGGGAGAATGCCATGCTAGCAGATTGCCTGGCACCAAGTAGGTGCTCAATAAAAACTTATCTGAATTACACTGACTTAAGCTCACATTTGCATTCACCAAAAAATGGGGGGGATGGGGTGGAGGGGAGGACAGGGGTGGGAGGATTACACATCATAAAGGGAAATAGGTAAGCAAAGGAATTGGTCTCATCACTCCCATACAGGAAATGAGTATCTAAGGGGCTTTGATAGCATTTCCCCCAGGGAAAGAAGCCAAACCTTCCGTCTCTTGGCGGGCATGCCGCTGAGGTAGGCATCGCTCAGGGGAGGCTGTGGTTTCACCTTTCTCTGGCTCTGGATATCCTGCTGGATAATTGGAACCCATTCCTGGGGAAGAGTCAGGGAATTAGGGATTATTCTACCCCACCCCATTCACAACACCAAGCACTTCAGACACCCGCAAAGCCCTTCCACACTTACTGGAGGAACAGCAGCAGCCCAGGGCTCTGTCTCAGCTGTAGCTCCATCCTGTTCCTCCTGAGAGGTACCCTCAGGAGCAGGAGGTGGTCCTCGAGACATGGCCTCCTCTGCAGTGGTGCCAGGGGCTGGAGAGGCATTCTCCCGCTGGGAGAAAGAGAAAAGTACTGATGTATATCATTTCTTGGCTTTCCTATTCTTCCTTCCCCCCATTGGTAGGTACCCAGTTCCCAAAAGAACTCTTCCCAATACCTGGGGTTCAGGAGTTCTTTCCGCTCCTTGGATTTCCATTGGTTCCTCAAGAACTGGCTGCGAAAATTGGTAGAGAGAGGTGATGGCTTTCCTTAAAGGTTTTTCCCCTTCAAATCTTTAAGGATTTAAACCAAACCTGTTACCTTTTCCCCACTATGTGCCACCACAGTATTAAGGACCCAAACATAAGACCCCAACACCCTCACCTGGGAGGGATCACCAATTCTTCGAACATATCTCAGGACAGCATCAGGCCCCACAGGCATGTGCTCCAACACAACCTGCAGTCGAAGTCCCATCATGGTTGTCAGCCAACTCACCAGGGATGGGTTCACGCCTCCAGACATCCGGCGCTGGTTAAAACAAATGAAAATTATTAATGGTCCCTGCCAATTCCAATACTTCTACCTAGCCTCTTCAGCAACTGAGCAGGGGAGGAAGGTGGGGGAATGGATAAAATGGGAGAGTCCTAGGGAAAGGTAGGAGACTAGATAAAGGGGCCTAGAAAGGGTTGTCTCTTACAATTCTGCCATTGATGACATCAGTGAGTGCACTCTGCTGTCCCCCGAGGCAATGCAGGTTCAAGGCCAGACACTCAAACAGCCCCTGGTTACACAGCTCCAGCAGCCGTGCCCCAAACCCACCATCTGTAAGGGAAAGGAAAGGAATTGTTCCTCATCACACCTAATCCCCAATCCCTGACTTCCACAAATTCCTGGCCCTTACCTGTGCAGTGCAGTACATGGGAAGCAATGCCATTGAACTGCTCCTGAAGAAACTCTAGATTTGTCCTGGTGATGTCGACACCTGGTTGTACTTGCACAGAGGCCTGAGAAACAAAGACAAAAAGTGAGGAGACAAGGTAACAGCAACAGTAACAGTGACAGTAACTAGAATGAGACTGGCTATTCCTGGATCTAGAAGAGGGGAATCCACCCCATACCATACCCTGACACTATACCTTGTGAGTGTGGGGGAGGAGGAAGGAAGAGAAAGTTTTTTTGTGAGGTACATCATTGCCTCAGGCCCCTCCAAAAGCCAGAAAGAGGGGCAGTGGCTGAGTGTGGGAGTTCATGTTTCACCACTCACAAAGCTCTCTCGAACATACTCCTCCAATCCTGTGATCAGTGTATGGGTTGCCATCTGTGGGAGAGACCAAGACAAGATCAGCAACTAGCCTCAGGAGAATGCTCCCCTTCCTACCAAGCTCAGTCAATAATTCTGGGGGCAGGGATAGAGGGCCCTCAGCTAGACACTACAGCTAAGTCTTGGAAACAGATCACAGATTTAAAATACATGATCTGCACAGGTTCCTGCAGAATGAGGATTCAATCTTTTGGGAAAAGAAGCTCCCCTTACCCGGATGTTGTGGGGTGTGGGCTCACGGCCTCCCAGGTAGTGCTGATGAAAGAAGCCCCGAAGCTGGGGCTGGAGTCGCTGCAGCGGCTGAAAGTGCCCATGGAGAAGCATCACTACATCTACCATGGAGAAGTTCTGGCACAGGAGGGAGAGCAATGCCCCAAAAAACCCTGGAAACATTAGGGAGAGAGACAAATGGAAAAAAGTTACCAAGTGCCCCACAGAGCTGCATCAACCTAGGAAAAGAACTGGCTTGAAGAGTTTGCATGCTCAAACCTCCTACCCTACGTATCTCCTACCCCACACTCACACTCACACTCACACACTCTCACTCTCACTCACTCTCACTCTCACACTCTCTCTCTCTCTCTCTCTCTCTCTCTCTCTCTCTCTCTCTCTC